CAATTGTCACGATCCAGGAATTCCATAGGCTTCACCGAAGAGGCATTAATCAGGAATAGGTGATTTTCAAGGTGCCAACAGACTTTAAGAATCTATTTCGAATTTCTTTGGCCTTGGCCAGATTTGCCAAGCCCTGAATCCCTAACACTCCTGTTTTTAAATTTTATTATAGAGAGAATATTAACTGGAAGATATTTTGGCATGATACAAACTGAAAGGAATAGTCTCAGCTCCACGAGTGCCCATCACATGCCTCAGAGACTACAGAGACAAGTCTACCTGGAATGCTTAACAAGGACTGTCTGAAGGGATATAATAAAAATTAAAGTTCAACTTTGTCTTCCCTTGCCTCTGCAAAAGTTATTTCAGTGGGGGAGGCTTCCCTGGGTGGAAACTGTTACCTTTAGGTAACAGCCTTTGTTTTTGGTAATTTGCCAGAGGGCATGTGCAGTGGCCAGAGGGAGACAGAGAAGGTGAGAAAGAACATCCCCCACCATAGGGAATGGTCACACCGCAATCCCCTCTTCTCCATTTCTCCCTCCTTTCAGGATTTCGGGCACACACACATACACGTCCAGCATGTTTCTCAAGCCACTGGGTCCAGTGCTCGAACCAGACAGTCAGCCATATTAGATCCAGCTGTCTTAAACACCACGCCACAGGCTGGCCCAGGGTAACAGTCTACGTAATCACATTAAATAGCAAAACACACTCCTGACTCAGAACTGCATTAGTGGACACATCAGTCTTCCCCACAGGTAACCTCTCTACCCACAGCTAGTGTGAGTACACACTTGGCCCTGTGGGAAGGGTAGCTGGCTTCTCTCCTTTTCTACGCTTTGTCCTCCACTCCCTAGATTCTGACACTGACGCCTCCAGAAACGGAGCAGAACGAAGAAGGGGGACAGTTATGACTCCTGCTGTCTAGGCCTGGCTGGTGCTGAAAACTGATATTATGGCAGTTTGCATGGATCCATTAGAGCCTTCACTGCTGGGCCTTTCTACCGGCAATGGCGACGTCCCAGAAGTGAGGTGGTTTCTATGGCCCCCTACCTTCATCCTTTTGTGTCCCGTTGTCTACTCCACATGGAATCATTTGTGAAGAGCCCCGCCAGGCTTCCAGGACATGAACTTGAATAGGATAGGAAATGGTTCCATACTTGGTTCCCAGGGTGCATGTATATTTAACCCTTCATCAGAAGTGAGTGTCGGGGGCAGAGGGGCAGTAGGAGGCATGTTAGTTAAGGCACTGGACTCCCACATGGCTGACCATGGTTCAAGTCCTAGACATGGTGGCTTGCTTTCTCATTTTTTTCATATCTATCTAGTGAGGACATGTGCCCTATAGCAAATGAAAATAATAATAATAAAGAAAATAGGTTTTTTAAAAAGTGAATGTGAGGGGCCAGCAGGTGGCGTGGTGGCTAAGGGCACTGGACTCCCACATGGCTGACCATGGTTCAAGTCCTAGACATGGTGGCTTGCTTTCTCACCCCCACCCCCACTCCATCCCTCTCTGGTCAAATAATAAATAAAGTTAAATAAAATAATTTTTAAAAAAGTAAATGTGGTTACTCTAAGATGTAACTGTCCACTTTACTCTGCTGCTAACCAATCTTTGCCTTAAAGTTCCTCTGCCATGAGTCATATACCTCTAGTGGCCACCCCCTACTAGGGACAAATATCGAATGCGTCAGTGGTCCCTGAGAGCCCCGCCTCTTCTCCTTCAGCCTGGATGGGGCTCATGACATGAAAGAAGCTCTCTCCAGAGAAAGCTCTTTGTAAACTGCATCTCTACTTTTACTCCTGAGATGGGTGAGGGGGTTCAGTGGTTGTGTAATGAGTCTTTGGTCATTTCTCTCTCTCTTTTTAAAATTTTCCCAGAGGGCCCATGTGCTTCCCAGAAAAGAGAGAGAGGGAGAGGGAGAAAGTACCCCCATGAGGAAAGGTCATGCACAATCCCTTCTCTCTATCTCCATCCTTTTGGGATTTTGGGCACACGTGCACATGTGCCTGGTGTATTTTTCAAGCTGCTTGATCTGAACTCAGACTACACAGCTGGCCACATGTGATCCAGTTGCCTTAACCACTAGGCCATGGGCCAGCCTGCTAGTTTCCTCTGTAACTTTTTCATCTCTATCTGGTGTCTCTCTTGAAAATTTTCATCTGTTGTATTTTGATACCTCAGCTGAAATTTTCAGTTATTTTGAAATTTTGAAAGTTGTTTGTAAACTGTCAAGAATTATGGAGTATGAGCTAAAATTTTTTGCTATGTAAAGTAACTTTGTGGAAAAATGTGAAAATAAATAAATGAAAGAAAAAAAAATATCCAGTGTAAGATCTTAAGTGTAAAACATAATCTTCCTCTCTTCATTTCTGGCTGCTGGCTGTGCCATCGGCACCCTCTCCACATACTCCCTGCCATGCCTACAAAAATTGAAATAAAAAACTTTCTGCTAACAGCCCAGTGAAAGGATGCCAAATCTGTCAAGATGAAAAAAATAATAAGGATAATGTGAAGTTTAAAGTTCGATGCAGCAGATACCTTTACACCTTGGTCATCACAGACAAATAGAAGGCGGAGGAGCTGAAGCAGACCTTGCCCCCAGGTTTGGCGGTGAAGGAGCTAAAATGAGCTAGACACTGTTTGAACTACATTAAACATTTTTAAGTTAAAACAAACAAAACCCACATTATCTCCAAGGGGCCTGCAGGTGGCGTGGTGGCTAAAGTGCTAGACTCCCACATGACCAACTGTGGTTCGAGTCCCAGGCCTGGGAGCTTGCTTTCTCATTTTCTTTCTCTGGTGAGCGCATGTGCTCTATAGCAAAAAACAAAAAAAACAAACAAAAAAAACCCCTCCTTTATCAACGCTGTTTTACGCCCTTCCTCATTCTTTATCTGGAACCTCTGTGACTTAGTCATACTTCACAGGACAAGTCATAGGGTAATTATGTAGTTCGTACAACATGTTCTAGTCATGCCCTCCCTGGTGATTCAAAAAGCCAAGCCAAGGCTTTGAGCTCACTAAGTGAAGCCACTGTTCATGAGAGGGACAAGCGCTCTGTCTGGCCCCAAACCTAGTCCTCATGAGCAGTACATAGCGGTTCGGTGGAGCAGCCATAACTTAGAGCTGTCATTTATTATGTGATCTTGGATAAATGACCTTTTCTGAGCTTTATTAAAATTTTATTTAAAAAAAATATATAAAATATGGGGCCGGTAGGTGGCATAGTGGTTAAGGGAGCTGGACCTCACATGGTTGACTATAGTTTGAGTTCCAGACCTGGAGGCTTGCTTTCTCACTTTCCCTCTCTAGCTCTGTCCATTTCTGGTCAAATAAAAATAAATAAATAAATAAAGTTAAATAATTCTTTCTCTTTTCTTCTTCTTCCTTTTTTTTTTTGGTTGCTATAGGGCATGTGTGCTCGCCAGAAAGACAGAGAGAGAAAGAGAGACAGAAAGCGAGAAATCACCCCCCAGGGGGGATGGCCACACCGCAATTCCTTCTCCTCCATTCTTTTCTCGGGATCTTGGGCATGCACGCACACGCACCCAGCGTAAGTTTAAGTGGCTGGGTCTGGGACTCGAACTGTAGTTAATTACATGGGAGTCCAGTGACATAGCCATTATGCCAACTGCTGGTCCCAGAAAGTTAAATAATTCTTTTTTTGGGGGGAGAGATTTTTGCTATAGGGCGCGTGCGCTCGCCAGACAGACGGAGAGAGACAGAGAGACAGAAAGCAGGAAATCACCCCCCCAGGGGGGATGGCCACGCCTCAATCCCTTCTCCTCCATTCTCCTCTCGGGATCTTGGGCACACACACACATGCGCCCGGTGTAAGTTTAAGCCACCGGGTCCAGGACTCGAACCGCGGTGGACTACATGGGAGTCCAGCGACATAGCCATTGCGCTAACTGCTGGTCCCAAGTTAAATAATTCTTAAAAAAAAAATTATAAAATACTTACCTCATATTTTGAAATTCAATTTTTGTAATGATCAGAGGGCATGTGCACTCCCCAGAGACAGACAGAGAAAGCACTTCGGAGTGGGGCATGACCACGCTATAATCCCTTTTCTTCATCCTATTTGGATTTGAGGCATGAACATACATGTGCCCAGTGTGTTTTTTGAGCTATAGGGGTTGTGATTTGAACTGCTGTTGGCCACGTGAGATCCAGCTTTCTGTGCACAGCATTTAACCACTGCACTATGGGGCTGGTCCAAAATTAAATTCTGATTACACAATTAATGCATGCATATTCCTTTTGTAAAAAGCAAAACATTACAGGTAAGAGTAAAACTCCTTTGATTACCACCTCCAATCCTGTTCCTCTAACTTTCTCTCTGGAAGCAACCCTAATTCCCAGTTTAATATTTATCTTTCCGAGACCAGCAGTTAGCGTAATGGCTATGTCACTGAACTCCCATGTAGTTGATCGTGGTTCGGGTCCCAGACCCAGTGGCTTAAACTCACACTGGGCGTGTGTGCGTGTGTGCCCAAGATCCTGAGAGGAGAATGGAGGAGAAGGAATTGTGGCGTGGCCATCCCCCCGTGGGGTGATTTCTCACTTTCTGTCTCTCTGTCTCTCTCTGTCTTTCTGGTGAGCGCACGCGCCCTATAGCTAAAACCTCTCCAAAAAAAAAAAAAAAATTATCTTCCCAATCCTTTTCTGATCAAATCTAATGTTTGACCTGCAAAAATAGGATAGTAGTATCTATCTCACAGGAAAAAACAGAGGTGAAATGCAAAGTGGACAATGTTTTCTTCTTTCTAGTTCCTCAATGTGCTGGGAGGAGTTGAGATCCTGAGAGCTACTGCAAGGACACATGAAACTCAAGCTAGGGAAAATACTACCCACCTTCAGGGGCGCAATTACCTGCCTTCTATCCAGTATCAGAAAAATACAAGTTTTGTTTTATTTTCCTGAAAAACTCAACAGACACCACACACATATTGTGCAGTAGGAACAGGCTGCAGCTGGTACCTCCAGCCAGCCGGCCATCGGTCAGGGGTCTGCAGGAGAAGAGTAACAAAAACCAAGGTCCAGAGAATATTCTGCTTCCTTGACCTTGTTCCATGTTTAGTCAGGCCGGGCTGATTCTGTGCGTTGTCTTCTGTTCCTGCGGCTTTCACTTCAAACTGCAGAAAGGAAGAGATCATGTGCCCAGAT